GGGGGGGGAGGGGGGGGGGGGGCAGAGGGCTTTGAATGCTTTACATTGTGCACCAAGGCAGTGGAAAAGCACCTGGTTCTATCCAGAACAACTATTTTTGTGTATTATATATACTGCTGCAGTGCATGTATCTCACAAGTGCTTTTAAAATAAACCCAACTGTTTTTCAAAGACACTACTTATTTTATTTTTCATTTCAAACATAAACTACCTTTTAATTGGCTTTGGCTCCATTTCAGATTTTGTAAGAGCATATTCACTGATGCATGAGTCAGTAAACTGGTAACAGAAATGACAAAAAATAACAAAAAAGTGTCTTTTATCCAGGCGCCTTTGTAAGAACACCCTGACATTCAATCTCAAAGGCTACGTTACCTCAACCTGGCAACTTAACCACACACGCTCTAAACAATTAGCCACAGGATCAGTTAACGGGCAGAGGTGAGAACTGTGAGACTACATGCTTTATTTGTTATTTGCCATCAGTGGTTGCTTGGCTGAGCTTCTTTCCAACACTCTGACACTCATATGCACCTTCATTTCTGGGAGCTGTCCATATCACCACTCACTTCTACTGCTATCCATTGAACAGGACGTGCTGGAAAAAGCACAGATAATTTTTTGCTTCAAGTTTGACTTCCAGTGAACCTGCCTACAGTATGTTGTTCCAGCTTACTGATACCTGGCACTTTGCTTCCCTTCAGTCTGTTTTACATGCTATCTCTGTGAACTTTATTTAATGATGAGCTGCAGCGAAGCAGTTTCGGTGACAGTCATGAGCCAAGCCTTTCAATCTAGTTTCAAATACACATGCAGCTGTAACTGATGAAGATAGCAACTTGAAAAGTTAATGAACATCTCATGGTAAATATGGGCCCCTGGGTGCCATATCCCGTTACTTCCAACTCTTGTGTCTCACTGGCATATCAGTGTTGCTTCTAACAAAGGACAAGGATCTGCTTGACATCTGGTCACGACCACAGTAACTACAGATTAGAGCTGACTTGAGTTGTGATGTTTGTTAATTAATTTATTTTAATAGATGCTACTTTCCAGAGTGGCTTGAGTATCTCACCCTTGAGATGTGTAACATTACGTACGTCTCAGTGTGTCATGACACACACATATAATATTAACATCCTATCTTGTAAAACAAGCCCTGCAGGTTTCAATAGGGCAATAAAGGTTAAATAAAAATGAAACTAAAACATTGGCCTGTTGTGTGACCCTCTTAATAAATCTACTTTTAATAGAATTACAGCATTCTTTGAATTTTTTTTCAAGTTATTTAAGCTACAATTATTCACTTTCTGATTAAAACTAAATGAATTTATTTTCTGTCATTTATTCTTAAATACAATTGTGCTCAACTTTTATATAATAGTTAAACAAATGAAAGCAATAGTCCACATTACATATTAAATTCAATCTCTACATATACTGTGTTTTTTAAACTGGCTTGTACATAATGAAAATGCAGTTTCCTACTGCCAAGATCTTTTAAATCTGTAACTAAATGGTAAATAATCTGCTCCGGTAAAAAGGCTGGTATAGGAAATCACATAAGCAAAAGTAAATAAACTAAGCTTTTTGATGTGAGTGGAAGTGAGAAAAGCTGATTTTTTAATGGTTTGATAAAAAAATAAAAAATTATCCATCATCAGTTTACATGTAACTATAAAAGTCACTTCCAACAACTCTATGAAGCAAACAGAGGACTAGTGAACCAAAAGCTCCTGATGGTGAAACTGGATCTCATCAAAAAGCTAAACCTGGGTGACTAAAAGAAAAAGAAAGAGAAACAGCCTTCTGTGAGGCTCTCTGGTCATGCTCCACTAGTCATCCTCTGACCACATGACCGATACTGGGGAATGTGAAGGCCAGAGAGGTTGCCTGGCACCTGAAGTCAGAAAGAGAACACAACCCCCCTCTCCCTGAAAATAACACAGACACACTGTGTCCACTGAGTGGGAATGGAAACTCAGTGAGGTTTCTTACCTACAATGAGAAGAACTCTATATGTAAATCTAAACAGATCACCAAAGGAACAGCTTCAACAAAAATGCTTCAAACAGGTTCTTCTGCCTGTCCTAATAAAATAATTTCTCAGCAAGAAACATTTCCATCAACTAAAGAGTTTTTGTTTTTTTAAAGGGGATTTTATTGGGAAGTGAGATGTTCAAGTCACACACTTAAATGTTCCGATCACACTGACCATGTGAGAAATGTAACAGACTGTTGAGACTGTCACACAGTGTTGCTGATTCTTTTGCATAGTGATCACTGATGTTGTAATTTGTAGCGTTAGTGAATTATATTCTTTATTCTTTTTTCAAAGTGTTGAAGGTCTTATTATAGACGCCCATTATATTTATTGTGGATATTTTTGTTTAGTTTTTTGTTTATAATAAATGGCTATTTGCAGCAAAACAAACTTTGCCTTTATCACATTGTTTCTGCACAACTTCAAATTGCTGGAGCAAAATCTCTAATTAATAAAAACAATCACAATATACAGCTTGTCATTGTAGTCCATTTCTATGTCAGCACATTAGCTTATGAGTGCTCAGTAACTTGAGCATCAACTTCATGGATCACCTACCTTCAAGAAATTCTGTATCCCAAATCCAATTTAAGGAATACAGATGAAGGTACGAGTGACAGGGGCCAGATTATCAGTCAGAGTACTGTATTTGTTCTGACTTCTTTCTAAGACGTACAACACTGAAAATGACAATTTGTTGGAAAGGATGTTATCAACAGAGCAGCTGAAGGAGCTTAAGGGGGAAGCTCCATGAAATCTCTGTAGTGACTCTAAAAAACACTGCTGTTGGTTCTTGCTAAGATATTACAAAGAAGTTAAGGGAGGATGGTTATGCAGAAAGATATGTGCCACAGGATTACATAGGTCAATTTGTACTAGAAATTTCCATGTATGTGTGTATTTGGTGAAACATCAACCCTTTAGCTCACTGCTGAGGCAGACATGAGCGAATGTACCCGCTGATAAAACCAGATCCCTCCCTTACATTCCAGCAGATTGACTTCCAGCTAAGCTCAGATACAAAAAAAAAGTCCCTCTCAGCACATTTTAGATAATGAATCAAGTTAAAGCTAATTTCATTTCACAGTAGCATAATGAGCGAATCACAGGTCATATAAGGTTTATGGCACACAACACACTCACTCACTGAGGAGCTACCCTTGCTGAGAAGAGTTGAGCAAGGCACTTTGAAATGAAATGAGCGTTGGACAATCAGACTTTTAGTCAGATGGAGGTCAATTAAAGTCATGGGTCAAGGGTCTTGATGTTCCAATTTAAAGCAGAATTCCTTAAATTGTAAAATTATTGCAACAAACGAGGACATTGCAATAAAAACTTTCACATTAAGGCACTGTCTTACTAAAATTACACAAGAAAATTCTTCATTTGAAGCAGTTAAATAGAAAATAATGTGTATACATTGATTCACTGTAAAATGCTGCCATTGGCTTCAGGAATCTTGTTACAGTTAATAATTGCAACCTCTTTGTTCTTAAATACACATCTAAATGCATGTAAAAGCTTCTCATTTACAATTCCTAGGACCCAGATGAAACTTACAGAATGACACAGCTGCCTCTAATGCCATCTAGTGGAGAGAGAGCTCTCCATGAGGGGGCAAGCACTCACAGGGAACCTGAAGCTAATAAGTAACCCAAATCATTTGCTACATAGAGAACGACATCAAACCTTAAAAATGGACCCAAGTAAAATGTCGTAGGTTTTAATCACGAAGCTGTCCAGATCTGATCAGTGTTAATTCATGTAGGACTATGGGGTTGTTTCCCTGCCACATTTCTTGGAATAGAAAATACTGACTTCAACTACTACTGTACAACTAAAAGGGTCTTCATTCATACAAAAGAAAAACAGCTGAAGACATACACTGTGCCGGCATGCAGACAACACTCTGCACTATAGTGAATCGCCCATTAGGATAAATAAAGGAGACTGAAAGGGAAACATTACTTCACACAATCCTTCAGAGAACAATCAACCTGCTTGAGCCAAACTGTCAGCTGAGCTTCAATCAGCTCCTCTGTGTCACTGTTGAAACATGCCGTTACCTGGAAATAGGAGTTTCAACTTCCATGAACCTGCTGTGTTTACTGTCACTAACCAGGTTGTGATTGCTGTGTTGACTCATTTCTTTTGTTCCACTGCTACTGAAGGAGAATATCAAACCTGTCAGTGATGATTAGTAAACCAAAATACTTCACATGACTGCACTAGATAGTATAATCCCTGTAACTGTACAGATTTATGAAACAATAGAAATCACAAAAAAAAAACTAAAAGGAAGTCTTGTTTAATATGATATGTACATATCCACAAACAAAAGTGGTTTAAAGGGTGGAGAAGAAAAACATATTCACCAATGGCCCATATTACTAATCCATATCTATGCAAAGTTCGCACCAGATCCATCAACACACTGTCACCTTCCATATACAGATCTCATGTCGTGTTAACACACAGTTACTGTAGGTAGCATTTTCTTTTCAACAACATTAACAGTGTTGCTTAATTTTTGGTATGATGGGCAGCAGACAGCCAGTCAGCTGGGCCTCATAGCTTTTCCTCTGCACCATTCAGTGGAGTATACAAGTATGCAGCATTGTCCTCCTCGTAGATGATGGCCACAGTCTCTCCAGCATCTGACACTGCAGCACTGGTCTGTAAGTAAGCCTGAGGGAAGACGAGACAACACCAAGAGGCAGTTAGAGACACTTTTTAACAGTACTGAATTAATCATGGGGAAGACATTAGCAAAAATGTAAAACAAAATAATTGATTGCACAAATATTTAACCCCATCTGTGGCTCAGCTGATAAAAAATTCAGTAGCTCCCAAAGAAAATCTGACAACAGCAACTTTAAGTTTTAGTTCAAAATAAATCTGAACTTAATCCATGTAAATACCCTCTCAAGCAGCTGCAGCCTCTCTTCATTCAGCAGGTTGCTTTGCCTCAACTGACTGACCGTGTTCTCAAGACCTAGAAGTTTCTCCATGTGTCTGCGGTGTCGCTGCTGCAGCACTTTCACTTTCTTCTGCAGCTCGGTCACAATAGTCTCCAGCTGCTCCTTTGTCAGACTGTTCTTATGGTAGCTGGAAAGAGATAGCACAAACAAATACAGTGAGAGAATACAGGAAAGAAAAGCCAGACTACTGAACGGCTCTTCAGTAACAAATTAAAGGGCCTTATATTGAAATTTAGTTATTAACTGTTTGTTGCGTCTTTAGTTAAACTGGCATCTAAGACTGTCAACTTTATTCAGATCTCATCTGTAATTTACTGACAGAAGATTCTCGATAAACACATACAGTACAATTCCTGTGGATCAAAATCAAGTGGGTGCTCACCAGTGTTCCTCCAGCTGGTAATCCAGATTTTCACTACCATCCTCCTCTGACTTGCCATCATCTCCGTCTCCCCCCTCTGTGTCCAGTCTTTCCACAGCGAGGAGCAGGGACGTGGGGGAAGGTGGCACATGTTTGGACACTATAGGCAGAGTAGATGTGATTGGCTTGGAGCTCAGAGCGGTTGACAGCACCGTATCCGGGGAGAAAGTGAATTGGGTTGAGGTTTCATTGGGAAAAACATTTGGGATGGTTTCAAAGTAGGCAATGATTTGAGTTTGATGACCTTCATGGATGTCAGAGAACTCCTCTGTGGTACGAGTGGCATCTTCAACACCAAGACAAGTCACAGCTTCATCTGTACAGTAAGATGTGGAGTCATTCACAATCAGCCCGTGTCCCTGAGTTAAAATGGCAGCAGCGATTCGATTCACAAGCTCATCTTGCCCTTCACCAGCAGGGCACTCAGACATCACTACCATCTCTGTGTTCTCTCCACTCAGATCATCCACTGTTTGGCATAAAGTTAGAGGTAAATCTGCTCCTGTTTTGAATCCGTCTACTGATGCCTGCGAGTTCAGGTCTGTCTGGAGAGAGGGTGCAAATTCTCCAACATCAGCTGACTCCACCAAGCTGGTATCTTCTTGCTGCGCTGGGTCAACAGCGATCTCATATAGGTGCACTGTGTGCATTGTACTTTCCATCTCTACAGCGTCAACAGGCACTGTTCTGTCATTTGACACCGTTACGCTTTGATTACTGTTTGCTCGAAGCCGTTTTGGCTTCTTCTCACTTTGATCCATGGCTTTCCGTTTCTGGAAAGAGGCAGAAGCGTGTGTTAAGAAAAGCAACATGACAGTGTTTATGATTAACTTAGAGCATCTGTTGTGTTGCAAACCTTTCCTCCTGACACATCAGAACTGGCCCAAGCATGAGAAGTCTTTGTAAGTTGCAAACAATCAATTCAGCCAATACAGGTGCAGATCTTTTTATTTAAGTGCTAAGTAATAAAAAAAAGCTATTTTTCTTGGAATATTTTCTATTATTTATTTGCATTAATCACATAACTGAATGGTTTTTACCAGAACTGTGCATGAGAAGACAAATGAAGCAAATGTAATAGGAGAAATACAGAAAACTATCAATGAGCACCTCTGTGTAAATAAACTTTCCAATGTGCTACAGTTAAAATAGTTCTACAATATTTCAATATAATTTTGTCTGTTCTGGTGTAAAAGCTGCACAATTAATTGAATGGAGAAAAAAGGAAAACTTTTGTGCTGCTTAAAGCTGCAAATAAGATGAAGTCATAAAAATATCTTCTTTTCCTGTAATAAACCTCTGACCTGAAAATAAAACTAATATGGTAAAGAAAATCCATTTAAATAGTACAAATGTTAAAGAAAAAAAATCATGAAACAGCAACGTCTTCAGAAGCTCAGTATTTAGCCAATTAATTATTCTGGTCATGTGCCACTATTGCGCTGCCCTAAAACTCTAGATTAAACTGTGGTAGGTTTCCTTTTGTTTTACCTCAACCTCTGGGAAGACTGTGGGTATGGCATCGCTCTCCAGGTAACGTATGCCCCATCGCATCTTAAAGCATGAAGGTGCAAAATGTTCATGGCAAATATACTGATGTTGAGAGGGAGTCCAATTCTCACGTCCCATGTTCCTGAGCCACTGCTGCAGCCGGACTGGGTCATGTAGAGGGAACCTAGAACACAATAACATGGGAGAGATGGATCATTTGGGTTCTTTAAAACAAATTATTGTCAAATGCTAAAAAAGAAAAAGAGGGAAAAATGCACCCTAAAATAAATTTCACACATTGCTTGTTCCAGTGGTTTGACATAAAGTTAGTGTACATACATACATATATATATATATATATATGTGTGTGTGTGTGTGTGTGTGTGTGTGTGTGTATGTACACATATGTATATATAAGCAAAACAAACGTCTCTGTAGGCTGAAGATTAAAGCACCAGAACTGATGTTGCGATCAGGTAACTGACTCTGTAGATTCATCACATTATACTCTGTGCATGATTCAAGTAACGCCTGTAACAGAAAGAACTGAAACAATACTATCAAATATATCAATATCAAGCCAGCACTTAATACGGAGTTTGACCATTGCATTACTTCCATTGTGTAAACAGCAGTGGTGGGAAGTAAGTGCATTTACTCAAGAACTGTACTCAAGTAAACAATGTGAGTACTTCTTCCACCACTGGTAAGCAGGTATTCTTCTGGTCAATGTTAGTATGGTTTTTATTTGAATGTAGGGCTTTCTATTGTAAATACTGAAGCTAAAATTATCAGTAAAATCATTGTGAGTGCTGCCACACTGTTCCAGCTGTTGTTCCAGTCTGTGAACGAGCCCCAGGATTAAGATGACATCATCACTACAGTACTCTTGATGTCGACTGATACTGCACATTTCCAAATTTAACTGTAACTGAATTTGCCTGTCAATAAACACTGGTCACCAGGAACGCGTACAAAAACAAATTATGATTCAATCAGACTTAAGACTCTCAACAGTCAAAACACGAAGACTAACTTAAGAAACAAATAACGTTACAACTTCACGACAATGACTAATTTCAGTCAGCAAACTGCTGTAAAATTATGCCTGTGGAAAAACTAGAGCTGGAACAAGACGCTAAAATTAAAGTCCGATGATGCTTCTATCAGCCGTAGGGTATTTAAGCAGCGAAGTAAGCTAGCTAAAAGGCTGTTGAACACATCCAGCTTACTTGTAGAAGCTTTTCCTATCCTTGCCGTTCCCGGAATCATTCTTACAGTTTCGGACCGAACAATATTTTGGCATCTCAGACAGGTGTTGTTAGGGTTGACGTTTCCTTCTGTAGCTTGGTCTCCAAGATGAAGGGTGAAACTCCTGCTGTCTGTTGTCAACTCGTGGCTTACAGGTAACGAGTGACGATCAGCTGTTAAGACTCGTGACGTCAAATGAATGCGACTGTAAACCTAAAAAGAGACGCTTCCGTACTTCCCCAGCTGAGGTGTTCATTTTACTTTTTAAAACGCACGTCGTCACTGATGTTTAAACTAGAAACACGCATTAACAAAACACACTCCGTAAGGACAATCATTTATGTCTTAACATAAACAGATACCAGCTTGTAAAGTTACATGACGATTTTTTTTATTCAATCTTTTTCTCCAAACATTACACATAATTTTTAAATGATACAGTATATATATATGTATATATATACACACATACACTTAAGTGTATTTATCTAAAACGTTGAGGGGCCACTGAACAATACAGCTGTGCGTTTCCAGACAGGATTGCATTTTGGACGTTTGTGTACTAAAGAAATCCAAATATGGGGGTCATAATTCACCAGTAATCAAGTGCCATCAGTGTTTGCCTTACACAAAAGCTAGCTGTAGACTGTGTAGGAGTTGTCAGGTGAGTGGCAAGATGACAGTCAAAGATAAAAACATGAAGAGCAGCTTTATCTTCCTCAACAGGAAGCAGTGCAAAATAATGTTACCAGCTACATCACTAATGGCAAACAGCACCTTTAAAAGTGTACCCAGAGACAATCTCTTTTGGGAGATCTGGCATCATACATGTAATTGTATTTTGTATTCCTGTAAAAAAATAAAATAAAATAAACATACTGTAGGATGGTTTGAGAAACACTGATAAACATGCTGCTCTTAACCCAGTTTACAATAGTCTAAACTGTGCACACAAGCCAACAGTACATTGCTAAGTTTCAGAGTCACAAGACGCTCCTTGTGAAAACAAAACAATCATTTTCGTTGCAGATCTTTGGTACAGTACATACCAGCTTTTTGATCCCATCAGCTGAGTATACTGAATGTTTAAAACCCAAGCAACTCCGATGAGACTCATCTGAAATTCTCAGGGCTGGTTTCTTAACTCAGTGTGAAAACAGACAATGGAACTGAGGATTTTCCAGTTTTAACCAATAACATAAACGTGCCTGGCTCTGGACTGGGTTGTTTTAACTGTTGTCTTCCCATTTGAACTACACAACGTGTTTTCTGTGTACAACTAGCGGAAGTTTGTCAGGGAGTAGGATCCCTTAGGCTAAGCATCGATGAGAACATGTCCAAGCATTGGAGGGACTGATATGGCCGGGATGGTTCCGGTCAGATGGGAGGATGTTAATGTCACAGACAGATTAGAGTGGCCCCTACATCATCCCCAACTGCATTAGCGTGTTGGCATAGGCCATGGGCTTGACATTCGGATGAGGCTGTAAAGAAAAATGAGAGAAAGATAAACATTTAATCACACTTCAAGGTTTTTAAAAGTGTTCCTACCTAGTCTGTTGCAAAGTTTACTGCCCTAACTAATACGCAATCTTATGTTTTGAGAAATTATTTTAGCAGCCTTTGTCTTCATTCCAGTTTCATGTTAAGTGGCTCTTTGGTTACACATCATTACAATAAATGTTTATTAATAACTTTCAGATTCAATTTACTTCCAAATTCCAAAAATGTGGTTAACAACTTATTAATAACAGCATTTGCCAAAACTATTACAAAGATGATCACACTTTAGAGTACAGCATACTGACCACAGCAGTGAACTGGTGAAATTCTGGCTTGAGGTCTGATCCCCTGAGGTGAATATACGCTCCTTTGTTCCCCATCTGATCACTGGGGGAAGGCAGGCACAATGTTAAAGTGACTAGCCAGTGTATCGGGTGACTCCACACTTTTAAAGTTCACTGCCATGATCACTTACCAGTAGTTGGGTGCTGAGAACACTGTGATGCACTTCCCTGAGTGAGTGACCTCGTAGCCCTCAGCTTTGACCTCATGACTACGAACAATGTAGTCCAGCTTGTTCTGCTCCAGGAAGCGCTCCGTCACATCTGGCCCAAACTGACAACTCACTCCTCGTTTGCTGATTGACCGGCCATTCTGTGTGACAGAGACAGAGAAGTCCTCAAACTAACAGCAATAGCAATTTTATTTATATAGCACCTTTTTTTTTTTTTACAAATGTTAAAGTACTTAACAATAACAAAATGAAACACAAAAGATCATACAGCATAATACACCCACATATCAGAATACACAACAAACATTAAAAACTAGCCTACCATGTAACACACAAAACAGTTATAGAAGACGGGTCATGTGATAATCACAAAACACACACACACAACAAAAGGGGAGAAGAAAACCCAGAAGAAACACTAAGATAAAACCCATGGTGCCTGAAATTAGTGTCAAAAGCCATACAGAACAAAACTGCTGGGCCCAGGGCAAACCTAATCTCCCATGGATGGGAGTCATGGCCCAGCAACAGAAAACTCTTGTTTAGTCTTAAATAATTCTTAATCTGAAACAGTCAGACTCAATGTTGCTCAAACATGAAACTAGTGGACACTGGTGAAACAGAGTAAAGGAGGTACTGGGTGGGTGGAAACTGACCTGGGGCTGTGGATCTGACCAGAGGAGGTCACACATGGGACCTGTGAAAAAGTGATGGGAGGAGTTGAAATGTATCCATTTTCCTTCCTAGAGGTTGTTTCTTAGAGCCAGTCTTATAGCAATGGTACATCTGGAGTCTGACCCTACCTGAGTCTGGAGGCTGTCTATTCCTGTCAATCTTCCTGAGGTCCTCTAATGTGACACCATCTTCACTGAACAGTCCACCATGCATAACCTGAGATCAAGAATACAAAACATCAGACCACTGCAGGTTACAAAAAACATTGATAACAGCAGTCATCAGAAAGACTCAGGTAAATTATAGCTGTCTTCAATAACAGTCAAAATATTTAAAGATGAGCAAATAATCTGCAACATGCTGTACTGTTTGTTATAGGTCTCTTGAAGGAAACATTTTGGAAATGTATTTTCATCAGCTTTACTCTTCCTAATAATGCACTTCTCCTGAGCAAATGGGATCAGTGGGTAGAGCCGGCAACTTTACTGCACCATACCCCTTTTCAGATAAAAAGATTAAACTTGAGGTTCAGGTTCTAATTGTTTCCAAAAGCCATTCTGAAAAATAAAACAAGCACAACTAGCTACAGAATCAGTCAGACTGGATCTGGATCCTGTTCTCCAAATGTGGTTTAACTAATTCTGGCCAGCAGGCAGTCTGAAAGAAGTTGGAGGACTGATTTGTAATCTTGCCCCTGTGCATTAAATAAAGGTAAAATGAGTAGAGACTGGAAACCACAGTCAGCATTATGATTGGCTGAGAGCCTATCATATTATTGTATAAATAGGAACGTGACAGTACTTTGTGACTTAGGCAATCACGTCACCCTGACAACAGAGAAACGACACCATGGTTCTAACTATCGTGGGCGTAGAGCTTTTTATTTTACTTTCTTCACAGCCAAGACACTTCAGGGACTGACTGGCTAATCTGAATGAGATCCAGGCTCTTGCCTTATAGAGTGGATGAGGGGCAATTGTCAATTACCCAATCAATTTAATATACGTTTGTCACAACAGTATAATTAAACAAATAAGAAAACAAATGGTTGATGAATGAAATATGTGCGTTTAGCAGATGCTTTTGTACAAAGTGACTTACAAGAATAATGAGTGTCTGTTTACCATTCATCTTTCTAAATCTTCATTTTATGGTGCTGGTTTGCCTTTTTACACATCTTGGCTTCCTCAGGGAAACCCGTGTTTAACATCACAACGCAATGAACTGTGGGGAATCCCCTCAGGTAAAGTCTGCAGAAATGCCAATTTACAGAAAGAGAGCATAAAGGGCTCAAAATGAAGGCGAGAGAGAGCCCTCATACACTTAGTTTCACAGTGGGACAGCCCTGAGCCCTCAATAACTTAGTGGGAATGTGCCTCAAAGTCGGAGTGGGGACATTGGGATTGGGCCTGTAAGTATATCAAAGGTCAAAGTGTTTATTTGTCAGATGCACAGTTAGGAAACCCGTTTCCCTGTACAATGAAATTCTTACTTTGCCATCCACATGAATGCCACAAAATACAAATGAAATATCAAGTAGATAAATAAGTAACACACTATCAACACTGTTCGATTATAAGAAAGCCATTTGCATCTCTAAATGGGATTCACACTAAAACTTGCTCGTGATCTCGCTGTCAGTATTTACAGGTTTGGACTAAAGAATTTGCTGTTATTAGCAGTGGCTCCAGCTTCGAAGGACCAAAAAAAAAAATTTTCTTAACTCCAGTCGGGAGTAGAATTAGCTCATACTGCCACTGCTTACCAGTACTTTTTTGTTGATGCACTGTGCAAGAGGCAGCCACTGGAAGACCTCGCTAAACAGCTGGAACATCTGGGCTGTGTATTTGGCTTTGACCTCCCCTTCAAATCCATACATCTGGTTCATGTTGTCTGTCTCATGGTTACCTGCAAGTATAAGCTTGGTTACTGCATAAGATATCATCTTGTAAATCTGCTTAGTTTTTAAAATCTGTAATTTAACAGTACAAACCAAATGACATTCATAAACAAAAATGGCCAATAAACAAATTTCAGTGCGGTGCTTTGAACTTTGACAACACATGGATGAACACCTTAATAGTATGTTACATTTGCAAATACTAGACATAGATCCACAAACTCACAGTGACACACAATATGAGTGCTCTCACCTCTAAGCAAGTGGAAGTTATCAGGGTAGAGTAGCTTGAAGCCAAAGAGGGTAAGAATGACCTCAACAGAGAAAGAGCCACGATCCACAAAGTCACCATTGAACAGCTGAATTCTGTGGTTAAGGACTGATGCACAAGTTCTGAATTTGAGGTTTTTGCCTGTTGTCATTTTAGACATGATATTACAAACAAAAAAATAACTGTACTGACTACAAATTTAAAACCTTATGAGTAGTTGTCTGCTAAAGAAAAGGATACATAAGGGTTGGTCTCTGAGGGTAAGTCATTCAACTTGAAGATGTTGAGTAGGTCATAGTATTGCCCATGGGTGTCGCCACAAATAGTTATTTTTTCTGTCTGTGGCAAAAAGAAACAGAACACTTGAAACAGAGTCCAAAGAAAAGGTCATGACGGTACCATAAAAAAAATTTGCGGGATCACAGGACTACTATATGTACTGATGCGATTCTACTGCCTTTAGTCCAACTATTGGTTGATCATAGTGGTAGCAATAAAAGAATTATCACCTACATGATCTCTTGCACTTGTTCATCAACTAATACAAACTTTACATCATTTCACTAGTGATTATGTACAAATTCCTTACCTCTTTTAATGTGATTTCAACAAGACTGGGCAGTTTCGATAAAGCATCCTTAACTTGCACCAAAATCTGAAAAGGTACAACAGAGTTTAATTACAGGTACAGGCAAGTTTCCTTCAGTGAGCTTGCTATATCCCTGGTGAGCCAACATTTTCACCTGATAAGCACATTTTCTGTGCAGTTTCTTCTGGTCTTTGAACCACTCCATCATCTCCTTCATGAATTTCAATGTGACCATACCATCTTCAAGTTTGGGGCCTACGTAGTCTTCTTCAATTGCTGTACAGAAGATTATATTAATTTCAGCTCGTGTTCAAAATCAGTGCATCTTATTATTAGCTGATGTTGTACAGCACAAATTTAAACGTATAGACAATTTTAAGAACACTATGATAACGCCATATTCTTTTATACTTTTGTCTAATAAGAGAAACAACTTACTCATGTTTTCAATGTCAAGAGAGTCAACAACTGATTTTTTTGTCTCATCACTAGCGATAGCTCTCTCAAAAGCCTTCTGTTTCACAATCTTGTTACATTCTTGGTACTTCATCCTTGCATCCTTGTCACTTGGTCGAACCCTTACTACCTATCATCAGAACAGGGAAAAGACATAAATTAAACATGCTGGTAAGCATCAAAACGTAGGAGCAGACAGAGAAACTATGTAGCTGCAAAGATGTAAATTGTTATGAGGATCAATCTTTTAAATTATGCAAAGTTTGTTCTGGATGAAAAATATTTTTATACATCATGCTGAACACGGACAACACTGAAACTATTGTGTCACACACTATTCTGCCATATGCATTAATAATGGTCATAGCAATGTAGCTCCAACCTCTCAAAAGTATTAACTGTTGCTGTGGGTGCTTGGTCTAAACTGCTACAACTATGGCTGAGCTTTAGAGGTCTTTGTTGCCACAGGCCTGGTGAATTTACATATCAATAGGTGGGCCCTGAGAGCTCTTTGTTTAATAAGGGAAAAACATTTAATTACACTGTGTACTCTGTCTATGTCCTGCATGTTCTCAGTTCAGACTACATGCCAGCTGAAAGTGTGCATCTACTAGTAGTTAAGGAGTCTATATTTCTTACTGTCTCGTAGTCCTTAAGTGCAGCCTTGAACTTGCCCAGTGCCATGTTGGAGGTGGCACGGCGATAATATCCCTTAATGTAGTTTTTGTCTATCTCCAGAGCCTTAGTAGCATCTGCCAGGGCATAGCCATAGCACTCTGTACGTAGGTATGCCAGGCTTCGGTTGCTGTAGTAGATGGCATTGGATGGATTGAGCTCCAAGGCCTCTGTGTAGTACTTGATAGCATTTTCATAGTCTTTCTCTGAAAAACAAATGTCACATCTTTACTGGACAAAAAAAAAAACAAACACTTGGCTTGTGGTTCTATATGGTTAACTATAAGAATACCAAAAAAAAACCATTTCCTACTGGGGTGATACTGGAGCTGGACCACAAGATCAAAATAACAGATCTTAAACCAAACTTAAACTCAACTGATTAGTAAATGAACAAACAATCCACACAAATTTAAATTATAGTGCAAAATATTTCCTGGTAATAGCTTGTGTAAAAAGTTTTCCCCAATTTCATAAGTAGAATATACACTATGTGGGTTTTATCACAGTGAGACACAATGAGCTCAATGAAGACATCAACTTTGGGACCTGCTAAACTGTGTTTACCATTTTGTGTTTGAAAATTTATGCACATATTTACTTCATTAATCCAAGGGATTTTATACATTGAAAGGCAAAAATGATGACCAGCTTTACAGCCCTAAATAAAATATCAATATGCTTCATTTAATACCTCATGATGAAACATTTTAGCTATACCCCGATATGACAATAATCAAAACCACTAATGATATTTGGGGTTATAGACACACAATATTTCATCTTGAGATTATTTGCGCTACATGTGCTCACCACCTCCGTGCCCATGTGAGCTCGGCGCTCGACCCGCCGCAGTTTGCATGCTGTCCTGGCATCGGGATTGATGATGCCATTATCTACATGCTGCATCGAGCCCTATCTCATCTGGAATCCTCCAGAAGCACGGTGAGGGTCATGTTCTTTGACTTCTCCAGTGCTTTCAACACAACCCAGCCGTCACTGCTGAGGGGGAAGTTGGAGGGGGCAGGTATGGACCAACACCTGTCCGCATGGATCATTAACTACCTCACAAACAGACCTCAGTTCGTAAGGCTGCGGGACTGGGCATCGGATGTGTCATCAGTGTCATCTACAAAAGTTCTCAGACAACACCGCTATTGTTGGATGTGTTTCTGGG